TTCGATCCACCGATCCGGCAACCCTGCCGAAGCCGTCGCTCTCGCAACATGTAGATGGAAGATTTCCTCGTCGTCCCTAGTAAATGGTGCGTCGAGATCATCGTCAATGCCCAACCCCAACGGGAGTGGAGGGTGCATATGATGCTGTGGCTGTGTCTGTGGGGGAGGTGGCGGGGGAGGAGGAGGGAGGGGGGGGAGAATAATCAGCATAAGGGGATTGCGTCTGTAACCTCGACGGCGACCTGGAATGGCCCCGAGAGTTGCCTGCACGGAGCCGCTGCTTCCACTCGAACTTTTCGAGGTGCGCCTGATTCCGGATCTCAGGTGGGGCATGCGGGCATTTCTGTAGATCGATGAGGTGGTTTAGCATTGTTTCTTTGCGGCCGGCGAAGGATGTCACTCGTTTTTTGGCTATATAGAATTTTCTCGTGTGTTAGGATTTGGATATGGGGGAGAGTGTTTATGTGGTGAGAGAGTGAGAGTGAGAGCGAACAGCACGAGGGGAAAACGCATACCCAGCTCGAGTAATTCCTTTTCCCCATGGTCATCCTCGGGTATCACAGCCAGCCCAGGGTTCTCCCTCATTATCGCGGCTTTCGCGTGCAGGAGGCAATAATTGCACCACACTTCAAAATACCGGACGTTCTTGTTTCCGCCCCGGTGATACCAGGTCCATTCCTTCCCTTTCTTTGACATGCTTTTTTTCTTCGGCGTGGTCGAGCGGTAGTAACAGAGCGCCCTGGATGGGAAATTGGGGTGCGCTGGGTTGGTCCGGTATTTAAGTGTTCGGAACAAAGAAATATGCTTGAGTTTTTTTTAGAGTTTTTTCAACTTGAAAGCCATGATTACTTTATTTTTATCGTAAACGTTTGAAGTTCCTGTGGCAAGAACTTTGTTTGTCACCTCGCGTGTTTGAAGTCTGTTCATAATTTCTCACTCGGATTGCTGTGAGCGGCGGATGGGGAGAGAGAGAGAGAGCTGAAAGTGCGCGTCGGGCTTAAATTGTAAGGGAGCTGCCGTAGTAATGCTGATTACCGTGAAATGGTTGGGCCGGCAATCTTCGAGGATTGTGGGGGGAATGTCCCTCGAGGGCTATCACAAGAGTAAGCTGCCGGGTATGCTCGACTTGATCGATTTGACCTCCGTTGGCCATGTTAGTCCCATTTGCACCTGCACGTTGGCACCCAAATCAAGAACTATATCGGGAACTACCCATGGGCCTTCGTGGATATGACTAGGTTTTGTGGAGCTGATAACGTAATAATCGTCCGCGGTATTTCTAGCTCTTGGGGGCATTCCCCCTCGGTCTAATATGAATGCTAGTGAAGACATGACTTGACATCTTTGGTGATCGCCACCGGGGCACCCGTCTCCTGAGCGGTTGCAGGCTTAGCTGGTACGGGGTAGAACCACTGATTTGGTCTTGATCCTGGGGTTCGTTATAGGTGAAATTCTGGAGTGTATGATATAATGCTTTAGCACTCTGGTGAACGAAATTGTTCGAGCCTTTGCTAATTTCCGGGCTGGGAGGATCTGGGAAGTTCTCAGATTTGTACCAGCCGTAATTATTATTGGGGGCGTAATTGTGAGGGAGTAACTAAAACTTTTCCTTGACCTTACTCTGGAAATTACTCAAGAGGTGGGGTCGTGACTTGCTGATACAGTTACGAGTGATGGAGTGAGCCTCGACATACTTGGTTAGACGGTTTTTGATGAACTCATAAAGTCGAGTTCCCGGTATGTAGCGAGTTTCGATCCCGGAGATATTCGCGGAGGAAATGTGTCTATGGAGGAGTGGGGTAAATGTGTGAAAGTTTTTATTATTGTATTACAAGTATTTGGCCATATGTTGTCACTGCGCTCTGCAGATTTTGAAAGAAGTATGATAGAATTAATGTAATAGTTATGATAGATATTAAGATCATTCTACTAAGATGTATTACCCTCATATTATGGGCTATGAGAAAACAACATATTGTTCTTCACTAAATAATAAAGGATAAAATTTTCCTCCAGCCAATTTGTCTGATCAAGACTGATCATATACCTTACTGCTGGCTCTTAGTTATGTTGACTGTTTCATAATAGTATTATTTTCAGAGATTGAAGTTGTTTTATATTATTTATAGTTGCATTATTGATTTGATTTACAAGCATCAAAACCTCTGTTCTGTTCCAATAGGAAGATTCTTGTAGACTACTGCTAGTGGTAAAATTCATGTGTTTGAGAATTTAAAAGTTATGGATTAAACTACCTAATATCTGTATTATAGATAGAATGATAATTTTTAATTATTGATTTATATATATATTTACATGCTTATTTTAGAGGTACCTGGTATTATAGAATAGTATAGGAGGGTACAATATTAGTATCTCCTTAAATATATGTTATTTTACCTTATTTACTACTTATATATCAGTTGTGGTATTTAAAAAAAAAAATTTATGAAGGTAGGATATGGTATAATCATATAATACCTAGTATATGATAGTTCTACTTTACTTTCAGCAGACAATCTTATCAGTATGATTTGAGATTATATGTTCAGGAGTTAGAGAGTTAAAATCACCTCTCAAAAGTATTGTCCCATCTTCTAAAACCCTACCAAAAACGTGCATAAACATGGGCAATTAACTAGCCCATATCTATATATTAGGGTATCCTGAAAAAATACAAAAAATTTATACAAGTTTCTTTTCACAAGGACCACACTATCATATAATAAAAATAGTAAAACTTTTATGTTTGGATGAGCTGCACCTGGATTTACATAGGCATAGTGTGATAAAAAGCAAATCTCCACCAAAGCTTGCCAAATTTGTATGAGGGCTTGGCATTCCATATCAACCATCATACAAAAATGAATACCAAACCTGTAAAATAAATAAACAAAATAAATAAAAATCAGCAAAAGATTCTCCTTATAAATATCTACTTTTGGTGGTTTTTAGTAGTTTTCAATAGTTTTCTTTTATCATTGTTTGGGTTAATAAATATACCAACTTTCGCAGGAAAACAAAGTATGGGACAATACTTTTGAATGGTGAGTTTAGTGTTTATTTTCAATATTTAGCCTATCTTTAAAATTCTTTACTCCTAGAATGCTGGCTATAACCTCAGATCTATTGTACTCTTGGTTATATACTCCTTGAGATAGATCCATTTATTTACCTTTAATTTGGAGTAGATTTTATATGTAAAAACTTAAAGTAGACTTGTTTATTCCTACTAGGACGGCTTGGGCTTAAAAATAAAATCAGAATTGTAATAATATTTCAGCAGCTTGGCATAAGTCTGATATAGTTTTGTATTCTAATTTGGTAGTTTTTGTTGTTTTTGCAGCTTCTGTTTAGCTCAAAGTTGGTTAAAAGTACAAAAAAAAGTAAAGTATAAAAATTTAACTAAGAAATACTACATCAATTGCACACCACTTGTGGTAGTAAGGGCCAAGAGTTGTATACTATCATGATATATCATATCTGGATTGTTGAAACATATTTTATACCTATAAGGTTTAGGCTTTGTTTGGTATGCACTAATAAAAAAAATACAATATCATAGTATTTCCTGAAAATAGATTATAAGTAAAATAAAATACTATATATATATATATAATAGTATTTCCAAAAAAAAAATACTAAGGGCCTGTTTAGCATATCAAAAATGCTATAGTATTTTTGGCATGCCTAATAGGCCCTCGGACTTCTCTGGTAGATTTTGAAATCGTGAAGGTATTGCGCATCCCACCAAACCATAGTTATTGAAAAAGGCCCAAAACCCGGAGTTTGGGACGTTACTTGTGGGGTGAAAGTCGGAAGAAACCGCCCCGGCTCGGCGATCGGGCCCCGTTGCCCTTAGGACAATCGAATACGGTACACCCAGACTCCATCGGTTCCATAGCTCGCTCTTTTGTTTAGCGTACGGTGCATAACTACTCGAGTACCGTAGGTGGCTCGGAGATCCGTAGTTGCTAAGCCTATTGCCTGGCACAGCACCGGTACTATGCCGTAGTTTACGCCCGGATACGCCCTTAGGCGGCGGCTGGTGGATCGGGTTGCGGGATATTTTCCGATCTCCTGTAGATCTGACGGGTACTAAAGACCAGCGAGCTCGCATAAATTTGTGTATTCAAGCCATTCCAGCACGGTATCTGGGGTGATGTGGTATCATGCCGGTGTTTGGGTGCTCTGAAGAAAGAGGATTGGCATTTCTGTGCATGATACAAGTACTTCGTGCATACACAAGCACGGTATCATCACCCATGATACAAGTACTGGCAGGTGTCACATTCCCATACCGGATCTTTTGGAGACAATTGCTTGGCGCGCCGAGATGACATAAACAAATTTGCCAAGACAGGGTTTCATCTCTCCATCGTTTCCTGGTTTCCTTCCTTGGAGAAAAAACAATTCCATCTCGAAAGGAACGAGAGAAGAGAAGGTCGAAGGAAAGGAGGCTCTTTCTGTCCTCGCCCTTGATCCGCCCTGACATTCTTCTCTTCTCAGGAAGAAGCCCTCCCAGTCCCCTGCGTCTTTCCCGCCCAAACCCTCTTTATTGCTCCCCGCGAACAAACACGGGACCGTGCTTTGGTTGCTGCATCCGCCGCCAAAGACAAGACCTTCATCACCTTCACCACCACCCTCACTGCTACAGACAGCTACATCTCAACTTTCTTTGAACTCACACGCGTTTGACCGGCCTCTTTCCTCGAAATAATTAGCCCAGCCTTACAAATCTCGGTCGTCATTTTCCTCCCTTATCCTCTCAACACCAGTTTCCTTCCCACTTTCCCGTTCGTCGGAAACTGGGCGTTTCTTAGTTAACCAAAGTTTGTCACCCCGGCCTACGATTTAACGACATCCCACTTCCCTCTGGGAGTCTCCTCTCCCATTCCTTTCTTCTTTTTTCTTCGGGTTCCCCCCCCCCCCATTTTTTTTTAATATTTTTCCCCTCGCTTTGGCTCAGTTGAGCCCTTAATTCATCCCGCTATTTAATCATGCCCGAGAATCGTCATAACGGCCGTGATCGCAAGCGAAAACATCCTTCTTCACCAAACAATACTGTTCCGCGCACTTCTCCGTATACTCCCAATCGCCCTGCCGATAATTATACCCCGCGAAATTCCGGAGGTGGAGTTGGAAACCGTTCCGGCAGACGCGGCCGCCAGAGTTCAACATCGCAGCAACCTCAACAATCGCAGCAGCAACAACCGCAGCAACCACTGACATTACAACAGCCGCCTCATAACCGTCGCCGCCCCGAAGACACGGTCATGACAGCTGACGAAAGCGTGATGGCTAGCACACCTACTGATCCCGGCACCCCTGGAGACTTTTATTATTGGGAGTTCTTCTCCGATGTAAATCTCCGCGCTTGGCAGTCCGAAGGTGCTGCGCGGGTTCAAGATGCTCTGGGCAGGTCAATTGTTAGTGAAGATGTCGATGAGGTTTGTATCATATTACAGGAACTTGTCAGGGCGACTCTTGAGGGGAGAATTTCCATTCAAGATTCCTACAAGTTTGTCACCGACATCATCAACTTCTTCCCCAAGGACCCTGACTCGGGAATCGATATCCAATATTTATTCCTTTCGACTGTTGCGAGTTACGAGGATTTGAATACCACAATTCCACATAATCTAACGAAGCTTTTGGAGGCACTTTCCCCCTCTCCGATCCCGACAGAGCTATTCGCTTTGCATTTAGAACCCTCGGCCTTATCGGCGCTGGGCCTGGTTACGTCGCAGTTTCCCAAAAAGGCGATCAAGGTTACGACGAGTCTCATTTACAAGCAGCGCAAACATAACCTTCTCCGAGAGGAGAGCGAAGGTTATTCGAAGCTCATCACAGAATTTTTTACCGCTTCATATTCGCAATTTCCTCTGGAAGTGGTCGGCCGGACTGGTGAGAGAGTGAAGGGGTTGGTGGGTGCTTTCGAGTTAGATCCTGCAAGGGTTTTAGATGTGCTCCTCGACACCGCCGCTAGCACCGTTGTATCGAACGCGCGTTTCTTTGTCAGGCTGTTGAGAGAGAGTGCATGGTGGCCAAAGCACCTTCCCTCTTCTTCCGAAGACGAATTCAGTAATACTGGCAAGGGCCGCGAAGAGCTGAAAGCTGAAAAAGAACGGAAAAAGTTGATTATGGATGCTGAATTCTTCGAAGCGCTGAAGAAGGACGGGATAGTCAAATTCTTCGAATATAGGGAAGGGTCCCGGGGGGCAGGTGGAAATAAGGTTGCTGCGCAATTGCTCGGGTTCAAATTCCGGTATTACCAGAGCGATGACGCCCTGGATAACTTGCCGGAGAATTTGGTTGTACTCAGCGCTCTACTTATCAAGATCGGCTTTGTTGATCTGGCTGACCTCTACCCGCATTTGTCTCCGAGCGGGGACGGGGAAATGATGGAGTTGCGGGCAGCTTGGTTGAAAAAGATGACAGATGAGTTGAAGGTAGTGAAACCCAATGCGCTAGCCATGGCGGGTAGTCTCCACGATGACACGTTGCCGAATCCACCTCGAGCAAAGCTTTCTGCACCCGCACCGGTAGAAGAGAAGAAGCCAGAGGAGCCAAAGCCAAGGGAACCAGAAAAACGGGAAAATTGGAACCAGAAGGTCGCCCTTCTCAAGCATCTCTTGGCTCTTGGCGCGCTCCCCGAGGCCATGTTCATTCTCGGAAAATACCCTTTCCTCACCGGGCTTGAGAAGGATATTGCAGATGCTCTTTCAAGGGTCCTGGTCCGGGCTATCGAGGCCGTGTATGCGCCTTTGAGGCCTCGGTGTGCAGATATGGGAATTGCAAAGGTTGCAACACCTTTACCTGGGGGAGTGGTTGAGATGAAGACCCCATTGAAGCGGAAACAAATGGTTACGTTCACTGTTAGCAATCTCAACTTGCGGGGCATTGACATTGATTATCGGTTCTTCTGGGAGGACTGGAAAGATGGGGTACCAACCTGTAGAGATGCTACAGATGTGGTGATTCTAATGGAATCTTTAGGAAAACTTTTTGGTCTCAGGATCGGGAGAGATCCCATGTTAATGTCTATGGTTTGTAGGATTGGGCGGAGTGTGCTGGAGAACCCGGATTGCACACAGGAGGACAGGAGCAGGTGGATTAACCTTTCTAGGTCCATTATCGTACCCGCGGTCAGCTTCACGGAGGGAAACCAAGGTATAGTGAACGAGGTATGGGGGATGGTCAGTTGCTTTCCAACGGAGACTAGATATTCGATCTACGGTGAATGGATTTCTAGGGAGAAAATGAGGATCCCGGATCTTAAGTTGAAAATCTCTAAAACGGAAAAGGAAACTAAAGATCTTTTGAAGAGGTTATCCCTAATTACCATCAAGCCGATTTCTCTCGGCCTTGCCAAGGTGGCAGTTAGCTCGCCGGTCACGGTTATGCAGGTTCTCCTGAGCCAAGTTGAAACCTATGACAACTTGATTGAATGTGTTGTGGGCGGAGCAAAGTACTTCACGCCGTTGGCATTTGATGTGATAGGGTTTTGTGTGCTTTTTAGGTAAGTGACTATTCCACCCCGCTCCGGAGATGTCCTAACACTTTCAAAGTATGAGCACGGCTGGAAAGCAGAGTGTGCAAGCGGATGGGATGTTGACTAGCAGGTGGCTCAAATGTATACTTCCTTGTTCTCTTGAAATTCCTTTTCAGGATGAGCTAACCATCCTGAAGCGCTTGGGCAATTTTGCGGCCAGATCTATACCCGCTATTATAGGCAGATGGACCCAGCACCAGTACTCGAATATATTGCACGCCAACTAAAGCAGAATACCTGGTCAGGATTAGGAGTACTACAAGAAATAATTCAGTCAATGACCGGAATCGATCCAGACATAAATTTGACTGACAGCCAACATCGAGGCCTTGCCGGTGGGCCCTATATCCGCAGTCTTATCCTCGGACAGTTTCGCGACTCCAAGGCGGAAGATTCTCCGCGCACAATGAAGGCTCTCACTGATACGTTGATGAGATCTGGGCTCGCCATACAGCTTCTCATTCTGATAGCCCAAGCAAGGCAGAACTGTCTCTACCAAAATCCCGGAACGGTGCCATTGAAGGTTCTTGGTAACTTGTTTGATCAGATTCACGTGGTGTTTGGACAATATTCCGAGCTATTGCAGACCGCCTTACCAGCGGAAAAGTACGAAGGGATGGTCCCTAGCGTGGGGCGGCTTTGTCGGGACTTTGGGCTGAAACCGGATATTGCGTGGTGGATTGCAAGGGGCGCTATAAACACAAAGATACAACGAATCCAGTCACCAGATGGCCGTGAGGATATCGATATGGGAGGAACTCAGGATGAAGATACCGCTATCGCCCCGGAGAAAACACCATGGAATCCCGTATTGAAAAACATTATGGATGAGCTCCGACCGGTCTTGCCCGTGTCTGAGTGGCCTGGTTCCTTGGCCTTCTATGTTGCATTCTGGCATTTGTCGCTTTATGATATCTATGTCCCTATGACTACTTATAAGAACGCTAGCGCTAGTATACAAGACGAAATTGCGGCTTTACCGGACAAGAGATCGCCACGCAGCTACGAGCTTTTGGGGTCCACCACCAAGTTGAGTGAGGAAGTTAAAACTCACATATGCCACAATGGTTTGGTCAAGAAACGGCTCCAACTTGAAAAGGACCACTGGTTTAACGAGTTCACTGATCCGCGGGAGGTTACCAACGCCATCGTTCAGTATTGCCTAATGCCCCGGATTGTTTTGAGCCCAAACGATGCTATATTTTGCTCAAAGCTTATCAAAGAGTTACACAAACTGGTACCCCCGAAGTTTCACACAGTTGGAATTTTTGATGCTATATTCGGTAAACATATGGGGAAGACCATATTTACCTGCACCCAACAAGAAGCCGAGAATCTGGGTAAGTTTCTGAAGGAGGTGCTATCGGATCTTCACGCATGGCACGCGGATAAAGCACACTACGAACGAGAAGCCCATAATAATGGGAAGAATCTGAACGGTTTCGCTTTTCGAGGCGCTCCAATGGATTGGGAGGATTTCCGAAAGCTCCTTTATAAGTGGCATAAAACCATTCACAGCGCTATCAAGAATTGTCTCTGCTCCAAGGAATATATGCATATCCGGAACACTGTCATTGTTCTAAAGCACATTTATAATTTCTTTCCTTCCGTGGATTGGATCGGTCGCACCGTGCTTGAAAAGGTAGAGGAGCTTGGGAAGCATGAGAAGAGGGAGGATCTAAAAATTGCGTCTGCAACACTTTTAGGGCTTCTCAAGCACAGAGAGAAGGATTGGGTGCTCGTCGCGGCATTTCAAAAGGTAATCGTTAGCTTTCGTTTCTCTAAAAGATTATAGACTAACCATGTGATAGGGATCCTTGACCGAAGCACTGACACCAGTGGTTTCAGGAAGCAAACAGCCCAGCCCCGTGCCCACGTCTACCCCAACGCCTACCCAGCAACCGCCTATAGATGCCAATGCTTCAGCGCAACCTAACGCCGCTCCTTCGGCCACTGTTACTAAGTATATCAATCGCACTACCTACTAAAGACAACTAAAGCTAATCATTTTTCTTATCTTTCCCAGTGGCCCTCCTGCACTTACTACCAACAATACCCTACCATCCAAACCTGATGCAGAGAAGGAAGATGGGGAAATTGATGACAGCAAAGGGAGCAAGGAGATTAAACGCGCTCCAAACCTTCCTCAACGACCTGCTGTACCCCCTCCTCCGCTGCGACGCCAACCCTCTAGGGATCCGCCCAGGCTCCAGCAAAGTCAACAACCCAATGAACCTTCAAGAGCGGGGACACCAAGAAGGGACGAGCCACTAAACCCTCGGCCCAACCAGGATATGTCGCGAAATCTAAACCAGGTCAACAGGGGACCCCCACCTCAGCCCAATAGGCCACTGCCCCAGCACCAACTGCCGGACAGGCCGCCGGTCCAACAACCCCATGATAGGGCCAGGGATATGAGAGATTCCCCGCGGTCCATAGAAGTTCGAGGTACAGCTGGTAGGCCTATCACCGAGAGGTTACCAGACCGGCCATCAGATCGATTGGGGGACAGGCGCCCTCTCTCTCCCAGAAGAGAGGGTAGGGATCAGCACCGACGTGATAATGATAGAGGGAGGGTGAGAGAAGACAACTTTCAAAGACCAGCACTGCCCATCAGAAATGATGATCGGGTTCCGAGGACTGGAGAAAGGAAGGATCCAGATATCCGAATGGAACCGTTGCCCAATAGGTCTACCCAGCCACCTCAACCTGTCAGAACAGACTCCAGAAGCCAGTCATCAGATGTCGACAGAAGAAGACCAGACAGGACGGACGACCGATCTCGTCGACACGATCGCCCCGATTTACAGGCTCACCAGATGGAGATCGATCGTCCCGATCCCGATCGCAGAGTATTGGATCGGAGGGCTTCCGATCAAAACCTCCCTAGGCAGCAAGCACCCCAGGAGGATGCCCACTCTCAACGACCGCCTGCTGCCCCACGTGCAGATGTCGAGCGTGAGAGGGAAAGGAGAAACCGTCAAGAGGGCCCGTCAACCCCGAAAGAACGTGACCTATTGACTGGGGCTCCACCAAGAGGACCGTCGGGCTCATCGCTTAGCGATTTCCGTGAACCCCGTCACGCTCCACCAGTTACGCACCAGGACCCCAATCATGGGAGACTTAATCCACCTGATGTCATACCCAAGGGCCCACGAGATCGTAGTGCGCCAATGGGACCCAGAGGCAATATGAATAGGGTTGCATCCTCGCCGGCTCTCACCGCCACTTCAGGGACACAGCGAGCTCCACAAAATAACCAACCTGGCGTGCAAACTCCGCTGCCATCTCCAGGCCTGGAAAATAAGCCGCCGCCGGCTGTGGCTTTGGTGGACAACAAAATTGAGACTCAAAAACCTGCAGATAACACAGGAGTTTCAACCAATGGAAGTGATACTGCCGGAATCCACCCAGATAGATTAAGAAATGTTGTCCAGAATCCACAGCCACTACCGCCACTATTGCCACCACAACCGCCACAACCACAACCACAATCCCCGGTTACTCAATCCCAACCTCCGCAACAGTCTTCATCCGTTCACCCAAGCCGCCGACAGGCCATCCAAGGGGCATCAACCACGTCAACTTCTGCTGCAACTCCCGGTCCACCTTCGGGTCCCCGTGCGAATCCTATTCCTGGCGTTGTTTCTCCGCCTGCCCCATCACCCACCACATCAAACCCACCACCGCCAGCTAAGCAAGGCTCGCCACCTACGGGGCCTTCTAGGGGTGATAGAGGTGATGATGCCCATCACCAGCGGCGCCGCATGATGACTATGCAGAATATCATTGGCCAGGCGTCCGGGGGGGGGTGATGCTGCACCGGGTAGCTCCAGCAAAGGCAGACCCTCAAGGCGTGTTGGGGGCACAAGCGGCACCCCTGGGCGGGATAATGGCAGAAACACTTTACCGATAACCACTAGCGACACTACTCGACGAGGTGGTAACGGCAATGGTTCTCAGGGTGATTCTACTCGTAGAGGCAGTGGCCCCGAACCAGGAAGACCCACCTCAGTTTCAGGAGGATCCGCGGAAGATCGAGATCGGGAACGCGATAGGGACAGACCGGCCTCAGATCACGGAAGTCGCAGTGGCCGCCATGGGCGTGATAGGGGGGACAGGGAGCGCGAACGAGACAGAGATAGGGATAGGGATAGAGAGCGTGAGAGAGATCGGGTTCCACGTGACGGAGACCGAGAGCGTGAGCGAGAGCGTGAACGCCAGGCGGACCGTGATCGTGACCGTGAACGAGTCGGAATGGACCGCGACAGGGGGCTAGATCGTGATCGTGGACAGCAAGAGAGAGACCGCGATCGTGAAGCCCGAGATCCAAGGGAACGTGATCGCCATCTTGCTGAGCGTGAGCGTGAACGCGATCGGGATAGAGAATCACGTAGGGGAAGTGGTTTGGCTGCTGTAATTGGCGGAAGCAGTGGTGGTAGGGATAGAGATAGAGATAGAGACCGCGATAAAGAGCGTGAAAGGCGCGATGGAAGGGATAGGGAGCGAAAACACGGCCGCGAGAATGACAACGGGAGAAAGGATGAGTCCAAGAGACGTAGAAGGGGTGAACAAGGTGGAGGGGGTGGCGGTGGATGGTAATGAAAGCTATCTGAATAGTTGAGGTGTTTTTATGTATCATGTCTTTTTTCCCTTTTTTTCCCATCTCCTTATTCCACCTGCTCTCCTGTAGTGGTATAATTTCGGGCTCAAAATGACGGCTACTGTTAAACTTAGGATATCCCGGTGGGCTTTCGGAGCTGTATATATAAAATTTCTATGCTCTCCCTTAGGGTTATTGAGAAAAAAATTTGTTGTTTTTTTTGTTATATTTTCTTTCCTCAATCAATGAACCATACTCCATGTTTTCCCACTAGGACACTGAAGGAGGGCGGGAGGACTTAACCAGTATTTATTATATCCTATATCGTGCGATATCGAGTCCAATAGTAGGAATCCTTTATGTTATTAAGACACCTCGCGTCGCAATACAGTTATCCAGTGGAAGTTACAGTATTGAAACCGCGACCCAGGATTGGAAAAAGTGGTAGAAGAAAACCCCCAGATATTGGGGGTCAAAACTGCATTTGGGGTGACTTTCCCTTCAATAGTCGATGTTCCAGACAGCCACTTCGCGATCTCATCGATCGGTGTGGATCAAAGCTCTTCCACATTAACTCGCTAGATCCATTCTCTAAATATAAAACCTAGTATCTAACAGATCCACTATACCCTTTACCCTTCTGCCCCCCCCGAATCCAAATCTGAGTACCACCGACCTCCTAATACTACGGATAAGCTAACTTCCACGAGGTCTTAGTGACATGGGCAAGAGAGCTCTTAGTCTAATCACAGAAATTTGGAAAAACTAAACAGAGCCCCGGGAACAAACCAAGCTTTCCGCTTATCACAAACAAATCCTCACTAAATTTCCAGAAATGGAAGGGTATCATATCGATATCATCACGAACCATGCCCTCCGGATAATATAGTTATATTATCTTGTGTCACAAATCCCAGTTTTCCAACATCCCCCCAATTAACCTAGGGTAGTCAGTACTACGCATTCCACAAAACCCCAGCACCAAGGTTACCCAAAACCCGCATCTCCCCACCCTACACCAGGAAACAGATTCAAAGATCTTGGGACAAGCTCGATGAAACAGAACCTCGGTCCACAACTCCACTATGATATCTCTTCAAACAACAGATATCATCCACAGCCAGCTCAAGGAGGCTCTGAACACCGCCAGCAAGCATTGGCGCGGCCCGCATAGCCTCCCAACGTTAATAGTAATTCCCCACATCCGTCGACCGCGGAGGGAATCCGTATCTAAATACGACCCAGCCCATGTCCTCGGACCGAACACCAGTTTAAATTTAGAAACCCCGATACCTTGGGTATTGAATAGCTCCCGGCCCGTGAGCGCCGTGAAGGTCGAAATTCGGGGAGCTATAACGGGTTGAAAGTAGCATGAATATAGGCTACTATAATTGTTTCCTCATTAGAAGCATGAACAAAGGCCTATTTTTTTCCCCCATGATTGGTTGCTTCAACTGCCCCCTCGTCGAGGGTGGTATGTTCTATCGGGTATCATTCACTTAATGGCGGGTATTTATTGCTATTATCAATCACCTAATTGATGATAATGATGGTGGTGACGGATCGATATACACGATTTTGGGCACACAGAACTTAAGGAGGCGCTGGCGGTACCACTGCCCCACTTTCCTCCCTGGATGCTCTTCAAACAGTTGTAGCAGACGGCGCCACAAGTACCGTGGTTGCTTCCAGAGCAACTCGCTGAAACCTTGTTGTCGCTGCTGGGAGCAATTAGTCCGTTATCGGGCTCAAAGGCGCCATTGGGCAATTCCACTTCTCCATGCCTAGAGTTTATTGATATTGATGAACGGTGGTTTCGCTTAGTGCCGGATCGAGGATGCTGGGAAAACCGAATGCCATTATAGCGAACTTGATCACTACAATGTCACTGGCGCCGGTGAAAATATTGTGATCCAACCCTCTAGAAGCGTCTTGGTGGATAATTGTGATTTGGTAAGTGTTAGGGAGCAGGACAAGGTTGCTGCAACCTACAAGACTTGGTAGCGAGTGGAGCTAACAGAGATTGTTTAGGATTATTGGGCCGATCGATATCCTATCCCTTATGTTGCAGTCTACGGGTACGTCGCCATTTCAAACACCCACAAGTACTCGAATACTTCCACAACCGGTAGAATGGCAGACTCATTGACCACAGAGATAATGCCAGGTTGGGGATACTGTACAGTCGCACCCCGCTATCCCGGATGGCCAAAATCCGAAGAATCTGTCCGGAACAGCGAGGGATCCGGGACAACGGGTGAGGTTTTGGTGGAAATAAATCCAAGGCTCACAGAAATTCATACGGGACAGCGAGGTATCCGGATTATCGAGATCCGGGATAGCGGGGTGTGACTGTACTCGCAAGCGCCCCCCTGCCCCCCCTTCTTCTTCTAATCTTACTCGCAACCCCCCCAGGTCATCTAAAGTTAACCCGCTACCAATCCCACTTCAAAACCACCTACCCCCGTGTCACCCGCACCTCCCTCCCCTCCAGCACAGGCCACGTCATAAACTTCCAGTATGGGAACACGGAAGACGCAATGAACACCCGCCTCGGTGCTCAAAACCTTGTAGAAATTACTGTTTCGGCGATATCACGAGGTGTATCATGATCAACACCAGATAAGCAGTCCTCAAGAGCAGCGACCTTGGCAGTGGAACCGGAAGCGGACCTACGGGAACTTTGAACAGTGCTCCCTACACCTATTCGCTGGTTCTGTTGGCTAACACTATCTCTGAATTAACCCTGAATTAACCCTGTTTTCCTACTATATTTTCGGGTACTTCTTGCCAGGGACGAGTACCGCTGCTGTTGGTGCCAACCAGGGTTCTATCCTAACTTTTTAATTTCCGGAAAGGGAGAATCACCACCAGCACTGATAGGGTACCGTACCAGGTACTCGAGTATAAGGGGGAGATTTTTTTTTTTGTTGGTGCTAGCGGTGAGTCAAATACCGTAGCCGCCAGTGAGGAGATCAATTGGTTCGATGGTGTGTTGAAATTCGTATTACGGGGACAGCAACGTCGCTGACCTTCTCACACCAACTGAGCCCGTGTGATGTAGAAGGCGTCTCGCGAACAATGTTTTATGTTGAAAAGAGTATGATAAGCCGGGAATCAATATCCGATCATCTCAGATCACTCGGCCTCAAGACTAGCTTAGAACCCCTGAGCCACGTGTGGCATCTCGCTGAATCGCGTGCCAAAGGTGTTTAATGGAGGATTGAGACAAAGCCCCACCAAGAATAGACCTAAGGATTTCAGAATTATATAATAAATTAGAGTTGTGTCTCCATAACCGTTGCCGTACCAAAAAAAAAAACACTTCAACACCCCCATTTTGCTATTTATGAGACCAACTACCAGTACTTGTAGAGTCGAGTGCTCCCACTGAAATCCCACATTGCAAACCAGCCTGTGAATTTTTTGAATAACGTTCTTGTACTCGAATACTTGTAAGAAGGGTCTGACCGGTAGGCTAATGGAGAATGCCGTATCACAAAATGGTAATTGTTCATAGGGGACCGGGGGTATGGTGGGGGGGGAGCTTAAATCGGAGCAGTAGTGACATTCAGTTCATTACGCCCGGTAATACATGTTAACCGGTTTCAAGTGCAGTTACGGTACCTTGCCCCTTGGCGATCTTAGCAGCTAATAACTGTGTGGTGAGACTATTGTGTCCCACAAAACCTAACCCTAAACCCCTATATATCGCTCAAAGATCAATACTGCACTTTTGGAACACCTCTATATTCTCTGAACCTCCAGCTTGCTGTCTACCGAAGAATAGAGGGAAGGCTAAAATAGGGGTTCTTTTTTAAGGAGAGTTAAACGGTTCGAAGTGAGCATCTTTTCGGGACCGAAGCGCCCCGGTTAAAGAACTCCCCCGCCCTGGGGTTCGATAGGGGCTCGATTGCAAACCCCAGCACAACACCGGACCATCGGTGAACTTCTACACGCGTTGTGACATACTTGCACTAGCCCAACTGCGTTGTTGAAAGGGCTGAGACATTTCCAGCCCTGGTAGTGCAACGCAGACTCAAGGGGGAGGGCTGAATATCGGGAAACCCTTCTGAAGGCTTGCATAGGGGATGCGCCAAATGTGGGTTCAAGCTGTACTAGTACAGTCGCACCCCGCTGTCCCGGATGAATTTCTATGAATTATATTTCTTTACACCAAAACCGAATCTGTTGTCCGGGATAACTCGCTGTCCCGGACGGATTCTTAGGATTTTGGCCATCCGGGACAACGGGGTGCGACTGTACTGCGTTACATGAGAGACAAGGAAAGGAGAGGGCACGCGTTCGTGAGCCTCGCTACAGCAACGGTGAAATTTGGCTTAGGTAGATATTCGGGGGGAAGAAGGGGGGAGGGCAAGTCTTTTGTTCTCTCCTGCTCCTGATTGGTCAACAGCCTAGCCTTCCGATATACGAAGCCCTATGCCCTAATATAACCATGTTTCTTTGTCTCCTTAAGCCCTGGTCGGTTCCAAATGGCGATTGACCCCTCGAAGCATATTGTTGTTCATTTGGTTACCGTATGTGGTACTGGTGTTTCAAAGCGAGAGACCTGCAAGCAAGGCGGAGTGGGGGGGGGGGGGGGGGCTCGAGCAGTGAACCATTCAGCTCTACGAGAGTTCCATTTTCGCGGGAAATAATTTGTCACTGTGCTTGACACGGCCAAGTTATCTTGTAGTCTTGAACTTTTTTTTATAAGCTTTAAAATTTTCTCCAGATTGTCACGTTAATGTATTTTACACAAAGTCTGATCCATTGAACTTAGAATTGGTCGTTGATCGCTTTCCAACTGAGTAACTTACTAACGTATTTGACCTAGTTATGGGACACCCCCTAGTTATGGGACACTTTTAAAACTTGTACACAACATAAAGAATCATGAACCACAACAGCAGTAGATGATCAATTTGGCAGCAGCTAGGAAGAGAGAATATCAGTATAGGTTAGAGTATGTAATATAAAATTTAGATTATATTACATA